AGGGAAATAACCATGAGATAGGAATGTGGATTCACTGGAGCCACCAAGGATTTTGTCACCTAAGCCTCCACTCTTGCTGGAAGATCACAATGACATTTTGATTGCTCTGATAATAGCGTCAGGGCAAACCCTTTATTTAAATTTCTTAAAATATATAATTACTCCCCTTTCTCAGTTCTGTCAAATGAGTGCAGTTCCCTTGGAGAGGACTGAGAATTGGAAAATTGTTTACCATGAAAACTTGCAGTCACTTGGCAGAGTCTTTGCTCAACAGGACACAGTCTCCTCCTCAATCAAAGGACTTTTATTGAAGTGACTTTGTACTTGAAGCTTGAAGAGGAACAGCAGTTTTTCATTGCAATAGCTTCTTGGTATTTCATTTTTTTTCTTATGTAATTCAAGAAACAATTTATTTCACTTTCTGTCTGAATCCTAAGAACACCATTACTGTTAGTTATCACTGCAGATTCCTGTACATCATGGTATTCTGATTAGCTCTGGTTGGCCTTGTTGTCAAATGTAGTAACTGCACGTAGCAATTTCAACAAACTAATTGACACTGGGAGTCCAGTTTCCTGACAGACTCTCCCACTAGGCAACTCTGGCTTGCAGAGAACAGCCCATCACAGAGTTCCCATTGCCGTCAGCGCTCCTCTCACCAGGACATTAGTTATGTCTCAGCGAAGGGACATCCTTTGGACTCTCTCAGGGCGCCTAGTCAGGTAATAGTTTCTCAGATCTTACGTAGTTTGTCTTTTGTGTCACTACCATCTCCCTGAGTTTCTCTGATCTCTTCTTAATATCATATCAAGGAAGTTGCAGCAACTTCAACTTACATACCAAGTCATCAATGTGCCCAAGTTCCGTGGAGCCATCCAAATAAAATATGATGTCTGGATTTATGTGCCTATGCCAGCATATTGAGTCCTAAGTCATTACTGAAAGCCTCTCATTCAATAAATTTTCCATATGTTAGGTTGATGCAAAAGTAATTGCCGTTTTTGCCAATTATTAATAATGGCAAAGCCACAATTTGTTTTGCACCAACTGAATACAAGGAATCTAACTAAAGAGGACCCCTTGGTCCACCACCCTCAAGACCCATTTCTAACACGTTCCCTTATTCCCTCTGAGATATTAGCAGTATAAGATAGTGTTACCTTACAGCTATTTTCTTTTGGAAGAGAAACTGTGCTTAACTGATTGGGCTGTACTGAAATCTTGATCTGAAATATTGAGGACTGCTAGGGCAGATTTGCCAAGAACAAACGTTAACTTGCCTGAGGTTGAGTTAGTTGAACAATACCCAGGAATAGGGTGCTGTTCTTCTCTTGTGACGGGGAGGAATCTGCTTCTGGTGGCCCTGAAGTTTCAGGGAATCTGGGAGTTAAACATTTTCAGCCTCATTCACCTAAATATCCTTATCTCTGGTCTGAGGGTTTACATTTTGGGGTCAGGATCGTGATTGTAACGTAACTGCTGCAGGAATTACTAACCGTCTCCCATATTATTAATATTGTCCTCCCTATTAAATCATTTCAATTTGCATGATAAAACCAATGAAAACACTAAAGTTTTGCCTCGCTTCTACACTCCATTCTCTATTCTCTTCAGCAACAAAGTTACTAAAAATATCATGTGTTTACCATGTCTCTGTGTTCTCATTTCATTCTCTCCCTAAACTTCCCCACTGAACCTAGCCTCTGCCCCTACACTCCATTACCTTTGCCCTTGTTAGGGTCACCAGTTCTATCCATGTTGCTAAATCCAGTGGCTACTTTGTCAATTTAGTTCTTCTCAGCAGCATTTGGAAGGCTGATACCTCCCTCTTTGTAGTATAGTGATACGTGCTACATTTCTTTATTACATTTCCATTCCACCACACTCTCCTTACTTTTTTCTTACCTTCCTAACAGAAGATAACAAATGAGATTCTTCTCATTTTCCTTTGCTGTTTTATTTTCCTCAGCCTTACCTCTACAGATTCAAACATCTCAGGTCTCAGATATGGTGTCACTTCCTCATCAATGACCTCTCTCTTTTTTTAAAAAAAATGAAATCCCACTTATAGGGTGATGACTTTGAAATTTATACCTGATATTCTATCATTAGTTACAGATTCATATATTCAAATATCTATCTGAGTTCTTCACCTTGTTATTTCATAGATGTGCCAAGCATAACACGCAAAAAGTGCAATTTGTATTTCTGGTAATTACTCTGTCAATTCTAGGTAGCCATGTACTCCCAGTTGTTGAAGTAAAAGTTTTTTGAATCCTCTTGCCCTCAATCCCTGCCTTCATCTAATCATTTAGCAAGATCCATCAGGTCTACCTATGTAATATATAGAATTGATTCATTAAGAAAATCCCCTAACTCCATTGCCACCATCAGATCTGAATCACCATGATATCTCACATGGACTACTTACCGTAATAACTTACCAGCTGGTCTTCCAAATTGTACTCCCTCACCAAAATATACAGTATTCTTCCTATAACCAAAGTGAACTTAAATCTATGTTTAAGTCAAATTACGTTGCATATGACTTTAAATTCTTCAATGTCTTTCCATTGCACTTAAATCCAAATTCCCTCTCCCGACCTACAAGGCCGTTCATAATATTGATCACGATCTCCTGCCATTCACTCCTCGCTCACCACGCTTTAGTCATTCAGATCTTTATCACACTTTCTCAAACATTTGCTCCTTAAGGTCTTCCCACTGTTCTGCCATCTTTTTGAGATGTTATTTCTCCAGGCTGTTTTATGGCCAGATTATATTTGTCATTCAAGTCTCAGCTAAGAGTTCATTTTCTCGGGTTGATCTATCCTGACTATGCTATATACAGATATCCTTCACCTTCAGTTGTTCTCAATTGCGTTAATAATGACTCATAACTGTTTCTTTGTTTATGTGATCATTGTTTGTCTTCTATAAAGTTTTCTGTGACTGTACATTCCATAAGAGCATAGATTTTTGTCAAATTTTTCATCTGTATTTCCTGCATCCGGGATAGAGCCTAACAGTCAGACATTCAAGTGCTAATGGCTATCTTTTTATTAAGCAAGGAATAAAAACAGAAAAAGGAGTCTGTCTGTGTTTTCTGTAACCCCTTCACTATACTCACTTAGAGAAGGCCTGAAAACTCTATCCTAAATAGTGTGAGTGAAAGAAACAGTGCAAATATTTATTTCAACCCCGAGTTATCATCTTGCATAATTTCTCAGAATGAATATAATCCTAGAAGAAAAATCTACCTACTTTGGTTATATTACCTTCATCCTAGGTAGGCCAGTAAAGGGAATTACATACAGTAAGAGGGGGTAGGCCAGTAAAGAGAATTACGTACAGTAAGAGGTTACTGACACTGCTACTGTTTCTACTTCAATATCCTCTGCCTGGTTTGCTGACCACAGAGAAATAGAATTTTGAGGTGCTATGTTTGCAATGTAAGTGGCAATTAAATTTCCGGGGTCCACAATATAGAGGCATCAAATGTGGAGTTTCCAAGATTCCAATCAGTCTTTAAGTTTCTTTTGTTTCCATGCCTAATAAATAACACGAACCGGACCTTGGCTCATTTAGGGTATGGAGAAAGGTATCCTTTGAGACAACATTAAGAAAAGTAAGTTTTAGCCTATGCATCTAATTTTCATTTGTTTCTTTAAATTACAAGGCACCCAAAACATCTTTGTAAATTTAGCAATTAAATCCATGTGTATCTTTTGCACTGTCAGAGTCAGAGAAGAAAATTAACACATAAAACTCGTGTAAAACTAATTTTGGTTTTTGCCAAATTTATTGATGAGAATATTTACTATCTCTTTATTTATAAATACTTTCTTTTTTGTACACAAAATTCATGGCTACTCCAGGCTGGTTAGTACAGTGCTGATCACCACAAAATATCTTTGTCAAAACACAAACGATGTGCTTTTGATGGTATGTCCCAAGTATATTTTCCTTTTGCGGCCTGATATATGGTATTGTCTGAAGAATATTCAATATATACGTGAACAGAGAATGTGTTCTCTCTTTCTTTTATGGAGTCTTTCATAAATATCAGATCAAGTTGGTTGATAATGTATTCTGTATTCTTACAGATATTCTGTTCTACAAATTACTGAAATAGAATCATTGAACCCTTAAACAAAGATGTTTTATATACGGTCCAAACAATATTTTCCTGGGGTACGGAGATATTCTGCAATGAGGCAATATATCCTTCAAGAGTTCTGACATTTTAGCACACCCATATATAAGCTTTTGATTGAAGGTCTTATCACAGCATCTTGACAATCATTGCCTGGTGTAGTCCATGGACACACGTCTTTTGTGGAGAAATTTTCTTTGATAATTAATAGTTCAATTTAGTCTTATTATTTTATAGCCATTTTCTACATAAATTTTCCCTCTTTTACTTATAGATTGGCCTTCATTCATTGATTGCTGTTCTCAAATAATCTTTGAACTCACTGTGACAATATATTTAGCCATACTATATACCTTAACTGTGATTATAATAAGATTATTCATAGAATTCCACAGCATTTATTAAGAACTGTCACTTTATGGAGTCTTTGCCAAAGGTAGAACTTAGTTGGATGATCTGAGAAGAACAATCTAACTAGGACCATGAGAATGAACCAGCTGCTTTTCATAAGGATGCAAATAACAACAAGATGCTATTACAGTTGTTTTGAATTAGTCACACATCTTTGCATCTGGAAGTAGGATTTAGGATTATGAAAATGTCCTCTACTCTCAATAGTTGATAGTAGGATATTAATTTCTATTTGTTCTGAAATACATTAAAAAACAACAACAACAACACACGAACTCTAAAGAAAGGAAGAGTGAGAGAAGGGAGAAACAGGGAGACACAGGCAAAGTCAGAGACGGGGACAGAGATAGAGAGATCCAGCCAGCTGTACACGAGATTCACTAAATTACACTTACAGATATACTAAAGAAGTTATAGGAGGGATTAATCACATAAAACATGAATGCAAGGACTGAAGGTGCCTTAGAAACATCTTATTTTTGTTTGTCCTAGAAAAACATAGTTTCTCTTCAGATCTGTTTATGTTGTTAGAATTGTCTTACTTTTAGAATATACATTACTTTCCAAAGCACCCTTAGAGATGCAGTTCTTAGTTTATTGTTCCCCAGTATTAGGATAAATGCGTGGCTTGAAGGGTAGATTAGAGCTATAGACTCACCAAAAATCACAGCTAATTCCGACTCTGACATAAAGTAGCTGGAGGTGGCGATGAGAAAGCACAAACAGTAGACAATAAAGAGGAGAAGGAAGGAAATGACAGCTTTCAGGGCTCGCACATGGGCTTCTGTGCTGGGGTCTCTGCACCCTGTGGCACTGAGCCGCATTCGCCTTATATGTCTATGCAGGGAGAGAATCAAGAGGAAAAAAGACATCAGGGACACAGAGAAGGGGAGCAGCGTTACCAGATTGAGAAATAACTTGGTAGAAGCATGTTGATCCTTATTTACTCTGCAACTCCAAGTTAAGTTTGTTTTCCTTTTTGCCTTCACACAACGCCTAAAATCAGCATTCAAATTCTCAGTGGCTGGAAGGCTAATAAACACAGAGAGAACCAAGCACCCCAGTAGAATCCAGAAAATCACCCTGTCAATTCTCCACTTCATCCAGAGGAAAACTGGGTGAAAGAAATTAGCTATCTTGAAGAAATAGTAAATGCTGAGGCAGGTCGCAAACCAGATATTTAAATGGTTAGTTAGTGTCCAGAAGAAGTCAATGATTCTCATTTGTTTACCGGTGGCATAGACATCTGGATACAGCACCAATGTAGAACAATCTAACAGTATTATGCACAAGAGACAAATTCTGGATATGGCCAGACTTGTGAAGATTAAATCAATGGAGGCAATCTTCCTCTTCTTTACCCAGTCCATGCAGTTTACCAATCCAATGAATGCATTCCCTAAGATCCCAACTGAAAACTCTCCAACTGCTAAGATCAGTAAGGCAGTCTGCACTTTATCTGTCATGTTTAAATAGAGAAATAGGCAATTCGTTTCTAGTTGACCTGATGGAGTTTGACATCTACACCTGCTTCTTAGATTTTGATGTAACTGTCTTTATCTCTTCGTTGTGGTCTGTCTTGTGATGGAGACTGGAATGATAAATGAAGACTGGAGCTATCTTCATTAAATCCTAATTAGTCTTGACAAACAATGTGGTTGGCGATCCTTGGCCTGGCCACTGTATGCCCATTTACCTACTCAGCAGGTTGTATTTTTCCACATATGGTTAATTTAGGCTGAGCTACTCTTTACTAAGATGCAAATTGGGCCAGTTCCCTTTCATAGTCCTGCATGGTCTTTCTGCGGCTAAAGCGTATGCATTCTGAATTCATTAATTTGTGATGTATACTAGTAACCTCAATAGAGTTGCTAGATTTAGCAACTAAAAATTCAGGGCACCCAGTTAAACTTGAATTATAGGTAAACAAATGAATAATTTTTTAGTGTATGTGCCAAATTACATAAGATCAGTGCTTTCAGGAAGTATTGAAGTTCAAATTTGGTTGAGTGTTCCATCTTTTGTCTGGCAAACCTAAACATCAAGAATTTGGTAGCAAGTATGAAGTTGGCAAAAATTGAAATTCCTGGAAGAATATTTATTTTGTTATATGTTACTATTGATAATTAATAAAGAATCCAAAATTTGGCTTGATAGTGAGAGTTATATATTTTCAGGAAATTAAAAAAGTTAACACTAAATGTAGATTATTTGGTTCCAAAGAAACTTTAGCTTATTATTTTGGCTGTGCAATGAACAATTATATGGCATAGTGTCTCTTAATGTAACGCATTGTCTTATTGACAAAGTGACATTTAATGGTTACTTAGTGATGTTATATAATAAGGTAGAGGTCCTATAATAAAAAAAGGCAATTGATTATCTTTAAATTTTTCATTTTCACTTAAAATGTTCTCAAGGAAACTTTGGGATATATTAGATACATCTGTAACTTTGTTTGTGATGATAATATCATGAGTGTTTGAGCATGTTCAGTCTCTCCAAATTGTATATATTAAATATATGAAGTTATTTTTATATCAATTATACTTTCTTTTCTTTTCTTTTTTTTTTTTTTTTT